ACCAGGCGGGCGAGTCTCTGCGCTTCTTCTGCTATGAGGGCTTTGAGCTTATCGGCGAGGTCACCATCACCTGTGTGCCCGGCCACCCCTCCCAGTGGACCAGCCAGCCCCCACTCTGCAAAGGTGCCTGGCCAGACAGGGCAGGAGGGGCACACCAGTGTCTGGGAAGTGACAGGGCTGGGAGAGTCAGGTAGCACATTTGAGACCGATGGGTGACCCTACAGAGCTCCCGGTTCTCCTCCTGTGGCCTCACGTCCTCACGGGTGTGTCCAGAAGCCCTGGGTCGTGTGAGGTCATGGGATTGGCTCAGGGGTGTAGTAGAGGGAGCCTTGGCTTGGAAATCCCTTGCTCTCTCTGGATAGGCCTCAGTTTCCCTATCTCTGACAAATTCTAAAGTTTGGCTCAGACTGTCCAGGAACCCTGACTTTTTAGGGGTCTGGAGAAAGAGGACAAAGGCCCGGTGCTGGTCACTCCTCTCTCTTCCCCACCAGGGGAGAGAGAAAGTTGAGGTTGAGCAGAGGGCAGAGAGAACCAGACTGTCCAGCCCAGCCCCACTGGGCTCCCGGCCCCTCCCAGCCTCCTCCCCTCCCTGGCTCAGACCCCATCCCCTCCCCCTCCTCTCCCTGCAGTTGCCTATGAGGAGCTCCTGGACAACCGAAAACTGGAAGGTCAGTGAGGGCACAGGTGGAGACCCAGGCTGGCCAGGTCGGGAGGGCAAGGCAGAGGCCGGGGCAGGAGGCCAGGCCTTGGAGGGATGAAGCCCAGGGTTTGAGGCCCAGGGCAGGAGGCTGGGAGAGCCCAGGACCGGGCCCAACCACAGCTCACCGGCCTCTCCTCCTCCTGTAGTGACCCAGACCACAGATCCATCACGGCAGCTGGAAGGGGGGAACCTGGCCCTGGCCATCTTGCTGCCTCTAGGCTTGGTCATTGTTCTCAGCAGTGGCGTTTACATATACTACACCAAGTAAGTAGCCTGCTTGGGGGCTGCCAGCCAGGGCAGACATCTTGTGGGCCTGGCACCGAACCCTGTTGATAAGCTCCTCTGTCCTCTCCCTTTCCCAGGCTTCAGGGAAAGTCCCTTTTCGGCTTCTCGGGCTCCCACTCCTACAGCCCCATCACCGTGGAGTCGGACTTCAGCAACCCGCTGTATGAAGCTGGGGTGAGCACCTCCCCTGCCCCTGAAGAGCCACCACTTGGCTCTCCCAGGACTCTATAACCTTCTCGCAAGGTCTCTGGAATCTCTGTCTTGGGAATTTCAAACTCAGCTGCCCACAGAGGCCATGTCAATGAGCACAGCAAGCCACGTGTGGACAATAGGGAGCAGTGAGGACTGTGGCTAAGTGGAGGACTTGAGCCCCATCTGAAGAATACGTCTCTACCCCATAGTCGAAACTGAGGCACAACTGGCAGATCTTCCAATTATTCAAGACAAGCCAGAAATTCAGATTCTTGTGTCATTTTACGACACTATAGGATGAACCAAACACTTTCACTGGCCAGATTAGCCCCTGTGGCTCCCCGGTCCCCAGTGGTCAATGTTACTTTAAAACCCAGGGTCATTGCCCCTCCTCCCATTCGACTGCCTCTTCCACCCCTATCAGACTCCAACAACTGACCTGATCTCTCTGTCTTCAGGATACGCGGGAGTATGAAGTTTCCATCTGAACCCCAAGACTACAGCTGCAGAGCCAGGACGCCCCTTCCCTCCTCATTCGGGCTGGGGGAAGTACGGGACCCGGTCTCTGCCTCCTGGCTGCCCTCCTCCCTGGCTGTGTAAATAGTCTCCCCGTCCCATGAGGGGGCTTTGATGGCCCTGGAGATCCTACAGTAAATAAACCAGCATCCTGCCGCCCAAAGCCGCCTCTTCTCAGTTGCCAAACGAAGGACCTGCCCCCCACCCTACTGGCTTTTGGATTCTGGGAGGGGAACTCTGCCCCCTGCAAATCTTGCAGCCCCTCCTGCCCAGGGCACCCCTCAAGGACTGCCCCTGATAGCTCTACTGTTCCCTTGAAGGCGCCCCCCTCCCAGATGCCCTGGCCCTAGGCCTGACTCCAGCCAGAAGGGTCAGAAGAAGGATGAAGGGGAGAGCTGGGACAAGGCCTTGCCCCCTTCCTGCCATCTCCCCAACCCACAGTCTCTCCACCTTTGCTTCTGAATTCTTGTTTTTGAGCAATAAACAGAAAATCATGACTTGTAATTGGGCCGGTGGGGTGTGGGGAGGCGGCCACCAAGCGCTGGACCACCTCTCTGGGGAGAGGGCTGGGGAAAGGGGAACAATTTGAAAAAGAAGAGGAAATGCGAAAGTGGGCAGAGGGCAGTGTCCAGAGGCCTGGCCTGGGGTCAGAAAGCCTGGCTTTAGGCTCAACCTCTATGAAGCCCTCCCTGTGACCAGCCTCACTCCAGGCCGCAGTGGCCTCTCCACCAGGCCTTGTTTGACCTTGTGGGCCTCTTCCAGCTGGAAGAGAACTGACAGGAGCCACCTATCTTCTCTCACTGCTGGGCAGGAGGCAAACAGCTTTCAATTTCTTTCTTTTTAGAGACAGGGCCTGGCTTTGCCGGCCAGGCTGGAGTGCAGTGGTGCCATCACAGCTCACTGCAACCTCAAACTCCTAGATTCAAGGGATCCTCCCACCTCAGCATCCTGAGTGGCTGGAACTACAGGTGCAAGCCACGGTGCCTGCCTAAATTTTAAATTTTTGTAGAAATGAGATCTTGTTATGTTGCCCAGGCTGGTCTCGAACCCCTGGCCTCAAGCAATCCTCCTTCCTCGACTTCCCAAAGTTCTGGGATTACAGGCATGAGCCACCAAGCCAATAAATTAAATTGACTTTTCAATTTATCTTATGACCAGTTTGCCTAAAATTCAACCCCCTTTGGAGGATTTTTGTATCTATTCAAGTACACCATTTCTTCCCCCCACTCCAATCTTTTTAGCATTTTAGGCGTATCTGCTGTGACCCATCTACCAATTTGAACTTGTTTTATATCCTTGGGGGTGTCCTTTTCCACTTTATCTTTTTTTTTTGAGACAGAGTTTCACTCTTGTCACCCAGGCTGGTGTGCAATGGCTGCAACCTCCACCTCCTGGGTTCAAACCGTTCTCCTGCCTCAGCCTCTCAAGTAGCTGGGACTACAGGCACCCATGCCCAGCTAATTTTTGTATTTTTAGTAGAGACCGGGTTTTGCCATGTTGACCAGGCTGGTCTCGAACTCCTGACCTCAAGTGATCCGCACGCCTGGGCCTCCCAAAGTGCCGGGATTACAGGTATGAGCCACCTTGCCTGGCCTAATTAAAATTTTATATTTAAATGCAATTGAACATTTTTAGGACACTTGAAAGGATGCTGAAATATTCAGAAAGGGGTGGACTTTTAGGAGAATCTGAGGCAAACTGTATGCATTATGTTGTTTTTGTTTTCTCTTTCTTTTTCTTTTTCTTTTTCGCGACTGAGTCTTACTCTGTCACCCAGGCTGGAGTGTAGTGGTACAATCTCAGCTCACTGCAACCTCTGCCTACTGGGTTAAAGTGATTATCCTGCCTCAGCCTCCTGAGTAGCTGGGATTATAGGAGCCTGCCACCACACCCGGTTAATTTTTGTGTTTTAGTAGAGACAGGGTTTCACTATATTGGCTAGGCTGGTCTCGAACTCCTGACCTCAAGAGATCCGCCCACCTCGGCCTCCCAAAGTGCTGGGATTACAGGCATGAGTCACTATGCCCGGCCTATGTTGTTTTATTCTTTAGAGACGGTGTCTCTGTAGTATAGGCTGGAGTACAGTGGCACCATCATAGCTCACTGCAGCCTCAACCTCCTGGGCTCAAGTGATCCTCCAGCCTTAGCCACCTGAGCAGCTGGGACTACAGGTGTGCTCCACCACACCTGGCTAACTTGTTTGCGTTTTTAGAGGTGGGGGCTCACTCTGTTACTCAAACTGGTCTTGAACTCCTGTCCTCAAGTGATCCTCCCACCATACTGTCCGGTATGTCCCTGGGATTACAGGCATGAACCATCACGCCTGACTGAATTATGTCTTTTAACTCTCCAAAGGACCCTACTGGACAGGGATCATTTATTAATCCCATTTTTCAGATAAGGAAACTAAGGCTCAGAGATGGGAATTGACTTCCTCAGGAGGCTCCAATAAATGGCCAAACTTTGTGCAGTTTGCGTTTAGCAATGCAAATACTAAATGCTAAAATGAATTTAGCATTTGCATTGCTAAACGCAAACTGTGCAAAGCCTAATGCACTGCTTTCTGGCTAGTAATGGGTGTGATATGTTCTCGCAGGCATGAAGCCCAAAGATCAGAGGGGAGAGGTTGTAGCTCAGTGTCCCCATCCCCAACAGTGGTGGCAGAGGTGGCTCTTCAGAAGTAAGAGGAGTCCTGCCAGATGCCACAGGCCTAGACCTTAAGGTGCTGGAGTGTGGCCAGGAGGCTGGATTTGGACCAATGTGCTCATCTGTGTCAACAGGCCAGGTGCAGTGATCCCAGTAATCCCAGCATTTTGGGAAGCCGAGGCAGGAGGCTCATTTGAGGCCAAGAGTTCAAGACCTGGGCAACACAGTGAGACCCTGTCTCCACAAAAAAAAAAAAAAAAAAAAATTTGAGACGGAGTCTCCATCTGTCACCCAAGCTGGAGTGCAATGGCGCAATCTCAGCTCACTGCAACCTCCATTTCCCAGGTTCAAGCAATTCTCCTGCCACAGCCTCCTGAGTAGCTGGAACTACAGGCACGTGCCACCATGCCCGGCTAATTTTTTTGTATTTTTAGTACAGACAGGGTTTCACCGTGTTAGCCAGGATGGTCTCGATATCCTGACCTCGTGATCTGTGCTGGGATTATAGGCGTGAGCCATCGCTCCTGGCCACAAAATTTTTTTAAAAAAACTAAACACTCCAATGTATGCCCACATCCAGCACTCACATCTAGGAAAATAAAAAAAGGCCCCCTGTTCCGCACCTCCACCCTAGAGAAACCACACATGAGCACTGCACAAGCTGGGGGAGGGAACGATCCCTGTCTCTTTATTAAAGCGCTTTCATTCCTGGTGGTGTCCTTGCTGGCTGAGGTTGGAGGGTTGTGTGATGAATCCAGAACACTTTGAAGGCTTCGGGATGCTGCTGGTCATGACCAGGAGGTTCCCACAAACAGAAGTGGTTAACGAGTGGCAAAAGAGGAGTTTTGAGGCATGTTCTAGGGACAAAAACGGAGGGAGGCATGAGAAGCCAAGAGCATCAAAGAGGGGCGGGCTCATCTTCCCAACTGACTGTTAGGAAGAGCTCCATAAAAGAGACAAGAAAGAGCCTTTTCACTCTTTAGACCCAAGGCTCATGTCTTTTTTATTTTTCTTAAGACAGGGTCTCCCTCTGTCAGCCAGGCTAGAGTGCAGTGGCGTAATCATATCTTCCTGCAGCCTCAACCTGGGCTGCAATGATCCTCCCACCTCAGCCTCCCGAGTAGCTGGGAGCACAGCTGTGCACCACCATGCCCGGCTAATTTTTTAAACCTCTTGATAGCAGGAACTCTGTTTCGGTTACTGCAACACCCCAGTCCCTCAAGCAGTGCTGACACATAATAAGTGCTTAATTTTTATTTTATTTTTTTGAGACAGAGTCTTGATCTGTGGCCCAGGCTGCAGTGCAGTGGCACGATCTCGACTCACTGAAACCTCCGCCTGCCAGGTTCAAGTGATTCTCTGCCTCAGCTTCTTGAGTAGCTGGGATTACAGGTGTGCGCCACAATGCCTGGCTAATTTTTTTTTTTTTAATTTTTTTTTTGAGACAGTCTTGCTCTGCAGCCCAGGCTGGAGTGCAGTGGTGCGATCATGGCTCACTGCAACCTCCAACTCCTGGGTTCAAGTGATTCTCCTGCCTCAGCCTCCTGAGTAGCTGGGATTACAGGTGCATGCCACCATGCTCAGCTAATTTTTGTATTTTTAGTAGAGACAGGGTTTTACCATGTTGGCCAGGCTGGTCTCGAACTCCTGACCTCAGATGATCTACCCGCCTCAGTCTCCCAAAGTGCTGGGATTACAGGCGTGAGCCACCGCGCCTGACCTAACTTTTGTATTTTTAGTAGAGACAGGGTTTTACTACGTTGGCCAGGCTGGTCTTGAACTCCTGACCTCATGATCCGCCTGCCTTGGCCTGGCAAAGTGCTGGGATTACAGGCATGAGCCACCACGCCCAGCTCCTCCTACGATTTCTTTCTTTTTTTACTTTTTAAAAAAATTGCCTTTTTGAGACAGGGTCTTGCATTGTCACCCAGGCTGGAATGCGGTGGCATGATCATGGTTCACTGCAGCATCAACCTGCTAGGCTCAAGTGATCCTCTGGCCTCAGCCTCTTGAGTAGCTGAGACCACAGGTTCGTGCCACCACACCTAGCTAATTTTTTAACTTTTTATAGAGATGGGGTCTCTCTATGTTGCCCAGGCTGTTCTTGAACTCCTGGGCTCAAGCAATCCTCCCACCTCCCAAGTAACTGGGACCACAGGCACATGCCATCATGCCTGGGGTATCACGTCGCCCAGGCTGGTCTCAAACTCCTGGATGCAAGCGATCCTCCTGCTTCAGCTTCCCAAAATGCTGGGATTACAGGCATGAGCGACCACACCCAGCCAGGAAAGTGTGTACGGCTCGAAACAAGGCACACGAAGTCTCTTGAGTCCCCTCTTACCTTGCCTGTAGACTCCAGCTGCTAAACTGCTTCTCCCTGCCCTAAGTACACACAGATGCTCACAGTGGCTCTGCGAAGACTGCTCTTTGCCTTTGTTCATGCAACTCCAACTGTTTGAAAGACTCCTACCAACCTCTTTTTTTTTTTCTTTTTTCCTGGAAAATTCTTTCTTTCTTTTTTTTCTTTTTTTTTTTGAGATGGAGTCTCACCGTCGCCCAGGCTGGAGTGCAGTGGTGCAATCTTGGTTCACTGCAACCTCTGTCACCATGTTGACCAGGTTGGTCTCAAACTCCTGCCCTGAAGTCATCGGCCCATCTCAGCCTCCCAAAATGCTGGGATTACAGGCGTGAGCCACTGCGCCCTATGGAAAATTATTTCTTTAGGTGCTACCTCCTTCAAGAAGCTCCAAGGTCTGTAATCCCAACACTTTGGGAGGCTGAGGCGGGCAGATCATGAGGTCAGGAGATCAAGACCATCCTGGCTAACACGGTGAAACCCCGTCTCTACTAAAAATACAAAAAAATTAGCCAGATGTGGTGGCAGGTGCCTGTAGTCCCAGCTACTCCAGAGGCTGAGGCAGGAGAATGGTGTGAACCCAGGAAGTGGAGCTTGCAGTGAGCCAAGATTGTGCCACTGCACTCCAGCCTGGGTGACAGAGCAAGACTCTGTCTCAAAAGAAAAAAAAAAAAAAGAAGCTCCATGGTTCCTTTCCTTCCTGTCCCAATTAAGGTTGGCACGAGAGTAATATCCCACTGTGTCCATTTCTATTATGGAAACTTATCCATACTGTATTATAATTGGCCATTTCCTTGTCTGTCCCCACACTGAACTGAACTCTTCAAGGGCCGAGACTGTATCATTCATTTCTGTGTCCCAAGCTCCTAAGACAGGGACCAGCATATAGTGCAAACTCAAAAGGTTTGGTTAATATCGAATAGCCTTGGCAGCCATGGACCCTGCATGTACCTTTTCACGAGGAGTTGGCAGGGGGTGTGCCTTGCTGCAGGTACGGTTTCTGTCGGAGCAGGAGATGGTGGAAGAGAGGGGAGAGGGCTGAGAACTCAGAATTTGAGGATCAGGGCAGAATAGAATAGAAGTGCAGGGTTCAAAAATTCCCCTACCCTGCTGGGATGTTGTGAAACCCTCGCTCTCTCCCCTCCAGGTTCCCCATCTCTCTCCCAGAACAAAGAGCATCTCCCTTGAAGCCTCACTCACCGGGTATCTGTGCCTCAGGTCTTGGTGAAGAATGCTGGAAGTAGAGGACCTAGTCAGAGAAAGGACTATCCCCGTGGCCAGGAAGAGGTGTGGCCAGGGCAGACGGGGTAAAGGGATTCTCAGCCAGCAGTGAGGAGTGGGTACTGGGTTAGCGGGTAAGAGGGGCACTTCACAGGTCCTAGGGCTGGCTGTGAGATGGTTGAGATGGGCACAGACTCCTGGAGAGTTCAGCTAGGGATGGGAGGGGTCAGGGACTGGAACCAGGCATGATGGGGGCTGCGGTTCCTGAGGCAGGGGGTTACCACGTTTGGATATCTGAGTCGCTTGGTCTTGTGTCTGTTTTTTTTTGATGGGCACAGGGTTCAAGTGGCAACAAGCAGTGCACAAAGCCTCCTCCGTGAGTTCTGCACTGATCCGGGACAGGTATTCCTCAGAGCGAGACAACGAAGCCTGGGAAAGGAAAAGTCGGAGAGGTTCAGCCTGGGAGCTCCCACATGGAAGTGCTGGGTGTAGGAGTTTCCAGGCTGGGGCCTGTGGGTCCAAGGAGCTTGCTCTTGAAGGACTGGGCCTTGAGATTTAGCTAGAAGGCTCTGAATCTGGAGGAGTGGGGTTTGGTGGAGGTTTAGAGTCAGGGCCTAGAGTTGAGAGCTATGGGTCTGGGCTTCAGGACTCAGGGTTGAAGCTAGAGTCTCAGGGCTTGTGGCTTAGACCTGGGACGGGGTGCCTCCGCCTGGAGGCCTTCACTTCATTACACTCCTACCTCTAGGGCCCCCTGCAGTGCTCACCGGACCTCCTCTCAAGGAGGGTGCAGCTTGAGACGGCCAGCTGCTCTTCTTCTCCCCTTCATTCCCCATCGGAGTGGACGCCATCCCCCTGGGAACAGTCGAGGCCTGTGTTGACCTGAGAAACCGGCCCGCTGTACCCCAGAACCCAGCTCACCACCATTCCCCGGGCCCAGGTTTAAACAAGGCCTTTAGAGGAAACATCCCGCTGCCTCATTCTCTCTCTCAAGAAAATAATAATAATAATAATAAACGTTGCTTTATATCTTCGGGAGTGAGAGGGAACTCCCGCAACCCCCCACCCCTCACCCCTTTTCCTGGTGGGCCTCTCCTTTCTTCTCTCTCAAGCCCCTTCCCAAGCTAAGGCAGACAACTTGACGCCCCAGACCTGGCAGATGGGTGGAAACCTTGGGCTACTAGGCAGAAGGGGAGACGTGGAGGCCTAAGGACCTCTGGTATAGGTCGTGGGGGACGGGGAATGGGAGATGGGGAGGAAGGCTGGAAAAGGGGGAGCCGGCTCCGTGTCGCTACCGGCCGCTATAAAACCTGCGGAGGTTCCGCCAGCCTCGTTGCTAGGAGATCAGGGGTTCTAGAACTAAAGACAGAGGAACTTCCTAGCTGGCCCCGTTTGCTCCTCCAGCCTCCCCTCAGTACCCCTCCAGGTGCCTCCTTGGGGGCAGTGACCCCAAGCGCCAGACGCTTGAGAAGTTTGGGAGGATGACGCAGGGGCACGCGAGAAGCAAGCCGGCTTCAGGGCGCTCTGGAGACTCTCTAGCCGCCTGGAGCCTGCGAGAGCAAAGGCGGCTGCAGACTTAGGGGGCGGGGAGAAAAGTGAGGACTGCACCAAATATCCTGGCCTCTCGGGGATGCAAAGACTCAGGAGGAGGAATTTTATTGCCTTATTTTTGTTTCCAGGAAGTCACACCCTCCAGAAAAGGAAAGCAGATATTTTTATTCGGCCTCTTTCTCTTTTGCTCTTTCCTTTTCCGTTTCTGCCTTTGCTCGATGTCAATGGTTCTTTCCTCCCTCTCCCCCTCTGCGCCTTGGTACGAGCCAAGGGAGAGGGGCGGAGGGAGGAAAAGGGAAAGGAAACGAACAGGCCTTAAAGGGGCCGCAACTATTTTTTAAGCCACTTTTTCCTCTCTCCAATTTTGCAACGACGGCCGCGGAGGAGGAGGTTCCCGAAAGCCACGCGCAGCTGGAGCAGCGGCGACCGCAGCTGGAGGCCCGGAGCGCCTGCGGGGCGGGCAGAGGCGAGGGGGGTTGCGGGCGGGCTGCGCGCGCCCCCTGCGCCCAGCGCGTCTCGGGGCCGGCCCATGCTCCCGACGGCTGCGGGATTCAGCATCTGGGGCCGGGTTGGGGCGGCGGGGTCCAGGGCGCAGGTGGTGCGGCCGATGAGCCGGGCCGGAGGCTGAGGCCGCGCGACGGGGCTGGTACAGCGCTGGCATCTTCAGAGCAGGCCCTGGGCAGCAAGGGAGGCGCTGCGATGCCAGACGAAAATATCTTCCTGTTCGTGCCCAACCTCATCGGTGAGTGCTGCCCGCGGCCCCGGGCCGGATGAGAGGGCGAGGGGCCTTGGCGGGCTCCCTAATCCTGCCCTGTTTCCCCGCGTCCCATTCCAAGGTTATGCCCGGATTGTCTTCGCCATCATTTCTTTCTACTTCATGCCCTGCTGCCCCCTCACGGCCTCCTCCTTCTACCTGCTCAGCGGCCTGCTGGACGCTTTCGATGGACACGCTGCTCGCGCTCTTAATCAAGGTGACAGACACCCCTCTCAGCCAGCCTTGGGCCCAACAACCCCCTGCTCCCTTCCCTGCCTCCTCGGGACCTCAGAGTCAGAGGGCTGTCATTCCCATCTCTGAAAAAAGCAGAACAGGATGGCCTGGGGATTTTTGTTTTGTTTTGTGTTTTGTTTTTGAGACATCGTCTCGCTGTCACAGGCTGGAGTGCAGTGGTGCGATCATGGCTCACTGCAGCCCCCATCTCCTGGGCTCAAGTAATCCTCCCACCTCAGCCTCCTGATTAACTGGGACTACAGGCGCGTGCCACCACACCCGGCTAATTTTTAAATTTTTGTAGAGACTGAGTCTTGCAGTGTCGCCCAGACTGGTCCCCAGCTCCTAGCCTCAAGCGATCCTCCTGCCTTCCTCCCAAAGTGCTGCGCCCAGCAAGAATGGCCTGATTTTGTAGCAGAAGGGATTTAAGCTAGCTCTTGAGAACTCACTGCTTGTGAGAGGTGTGGATTAGCAAGACATGACGTGGCCATGGCGCTGCTGGAGGTCTCTCTGAACACAAGTCCATTCAGGCCAGGGGCGGTGACTCACACCTGTAATCTCGGCACTTTGGGAGGCTGAAGCGGGCGGATCACGAGGTCAGGAGTTCGAGACCAGACTGACCAACATAGTGAAACCCTGTCTCTGCAAAAAATACAAAAATTAGCTGGCTTGGTGACGTGTGCCTGTAATCCCAGCTACTCAAGAGGCTAAGGCAGGAGAATTGCTTGAACCTGGGAGGCGGAGGTTGCAGTGAGCCGAGATTGTGCCATCACACTCCAGCCTGGGCGACAGAGCAAGACTCTGTCTCGGGGGAAAAAAAAAAAGTCCTATCAACAGGTGTTTCCTGGAGGCCTACTGTGTGCCCTGCATAAGTAGTTGGGGTTCCAGAAGGCATGCTTAGAGGGAGGATGGAGAGGGACGGGTGATGGCTCTTGGAGGGTTGACTAATTTTTTAATCTGTTCTCCAGACCCAACTCTAAGGCTTCCCCTGAGGCATCAAGTCTCTTTTTCTAGCCCTGGAGCCTTGGTTCTGGGGTTGAGGAGCTGCAGACATAGCTTTCCTTTCCTCCTACCCTGTTCCCTTCACTCTCATGCCTCTCTCAGTTCATGCCATGGTGACCTTTGCCCACTAACCTCACACACAGCCTGTTTTCCAACCTGCGTTCCTCCCCAGGCAGGTGGACACTTCCAGTCTTCATTTACACCCTGCATCAGAGTGATAAACCAAATATGGGCACCTTTTCTGCATCCTCTGTGCCATAATAGCCCCTGCCCACCTAATCTTCCAGGAACCCGGTTTGGGGCCATGCTGGACATGCTGACGGACCGCTGCTCCACCATGTGCCTGTTGGTCAACCTGGCCCTGCTGTACCCTCGAGCCACGCTGTTCTTCCAACTCAGCATGAGTTTGGATGTGGCCAGTCACTGGCTGCACCTCCACAGGTCTGCCGCGATTCTGGGGGCGTTGGCCAGTTAGACACACTACAGTGGGGTGGGCTGAGCGTAGATGGAAGGGTGTCTGGGATGGCACTAGGCATCCTGGAAGGGCTCCTTTTTAGCTCTGCTTTGTAGAAGGACCCCAGGCAAACACGCCTCTCTTTAAAGCTTCAGTCATGTTTACAGTTGCATTAAGCAATTCTTAGGACTCTTCTGGCTGGACGTTCTAGGATTCCAAATAGGTGATAGCTCATAGGAAGGGGCATAGGAGCTTTCAAATGTGGTATTTGAATCCTGACTCTGCCCCGAAATAGGTAACTGGCTTTGGGCAGGATATTGGTCCTTAGCCGTGCCCAGTTTTCCATCTGTACAATAGGTGTTAACATGAGGATCGGATGCACGGTAGTGGTCATGAAACCTCATGGGTTCCCCTGTTTTCTCCCCAAGTTCTGTGGTCCGAGGCAGTGAGAGTCACAAGATGATCGACTTGTCCGGGAATCCAGTGCTTCGGATCTATTACACCTCGAGGGTAAGCATTTCCTGCACACCCCGCCCCTCAGGCTCTTGGCTGTGGGAAGCCCTGGGCTGAACCCAGGTCCTAGACTAGGAGAAGGCAAGGGCACAGAGCAGGGCCTGCACAGTCACTCCAGGAGGAGGGGCCTGTAAGCTGAGGTCTGGAGGAGGAGCATTGGTGGGGAAGGCCTGTGTGAATTACTCCAGGGAACAAGTGGGAATGAGGCCTGCAAAGAGGAGAGACTGAAAGAGGAGAGGGAGATAAGCCAGAGAGGTTTGCAGGGCTGGAGTGTAGACTTGATTTCAGGAACACAGGCAACCTCTGGAAGGATTTTTAAAAAGATAATGGCTGGGCATGGTGGCTCATGCCTATAATCCCAGCACTTTGGGAGGCTGAGGTGGGAAGATTGCTTGAGACCAGGAGTTTGGAACCAGCCTGGGCAACAAAGTGAGACTCTGTTTACACACACACACACACACACACACACACACACACACACAAAACCTTGAATTAACTTAACCAGGCACAGTGGTGCACGCCTGTAGTCTCTACTTAGGAGGCTAAGGTGGAAAGATTGCGTGAGACCAAGGTTTTTTTTTTTTTTTTTTTTGAGACAGAGTCTCTGTCACCCAGGCTGGAGTTCAGTGGCGTGTGCTCAGTGCAACCTCTGCCTCCTGGGTTCTAGCGATTCTTATGCCTCAGCCTCCTGAGGACTACTAGGAGTCTAGGACTACTAGGACTACGGGCATGCGCCACCACATTCGGCTAATTTTTGTATTTTTAGTAGAGAGGGATTTCGCCATGTTGGCCAGGCTGGTCTCAATCTCCTGACCTCAGGTGATCTGCCTGACTCAGCCACCCAAAGTGCTGGGACTACAGGTGTGAGCCACCGTGCCTGGCTGAGACCAGGAGTTTTGAGGCTGCAGTGCTATGATCATACCACTGCATTCCAGCCTGGATGACAGAGCGAGACCCTGTCTCTAAAAAAGAAAAAAAATAATAATCTGCTGAGATTGCACCCTCATTAGTGCTGGGGGCAGGGAGTGGCACACACCTGCCTCTTGCTAATGTGGCCTGTTTGCTGTGTGTGCAGCCTGCTCTGTTCACCTTGTGTGCTGGGAATGAGCTCTTCTACTGCCTCCTCTACCTGTTCCATTTCTCTGAGGGACCTTTAGGTATGAGATGAGGGGCGGGGCAGGAGGATGGGAGGGGGATCTGGGCTGCCCAGGGAGATGGAGGCCCCCTCCTTCGGGCCCCGAACTTCCCTGCTGCCTTCCTGCAGTTGGCTCTGTGGGACTGTTCCGGATGGGCCTCTGGGTCACTGCCCCCATCGCCTTGCTGAAGTCGCTCATCAGTGTCATCCACCTGATCACGGCTGCCCGCAACATGGCTGCCCTAGACGCAGCAGACCGCGCCAAGAAGAAGTGACACAGGAGCCCCGGGTCCTGGCTGCCCACCTGCCCTGGGAGTCTTGCTGTGCCACACAGCTCCCCACCCGCTGCTAGGAGGTCCCAGTCTCACGCCTTCCTCATGTGTTGTTCTACCTGCTGGGATGGGGGTCAGCCTCTCTTTGGTGACGTCACGTTCTCTGGGATCCTGAGAACCCAGGCCTCAAATCAGGGAGGTTACGCGGGAGGCCTCATGCATACAGGCGGTGCTCCTGGGGTGCCAGCACCGGGCAGTGTCCCGCCCTGCTGGCTCAGCCCTGGGGTCCGAGATGCTAGGGTCAGTTGAGTGAGGGAGATGGTGTGAGGGCCGCGTTTCCCTAAAGGCAGGGGAGTCAGACCTCCGCCCCCAGCTAGAGCAAGTCTGGGGCACCGTGCCTGGAGGGAAGAAGCCATCCACAGCGTTCCCCGTCACTGGCTTCTCTGTCCTGCCTACCC